AAGTAGAAACTTTTGTAACCAATCCATGATAAATGACGTATCCTAACAGATATTAATTTGGCGGAAATCTACAATGAACGAAGTTTACCCCTGGAGTCCAGCTATGAAACAATATCATCGAGCAAACATGCATCTCTTTCGACTTACAGGGTATGAGATTGACATGTCTACATCGTTTGCATGTGTATGCTTTTCTTTGCTGCTATCTCGTTTCCATCCTTGCTCGCATGTTTTATCTTCTCACATAAATTCTGGTGTTTCTTCTTGTGCAATTCCCAGGAATTTCTCTTGTATTGAGAAGACATTGATAATTCTGTGGCAATGCTTCTAGTAATTTTCTTTGGCAAATCCCATGTGCCCTTTTTAATACATGATATTTTTGTATTATAATTTTTAGACACTACATGTATAAATGTAAAAAGAGTCTTTACGATAGATGTGTGTGATAACGTTTTAAATCATTAATCATATTGATTTATATTTATATTTATACAAACTTTAAATGTACCCCACGGCGAATGTTGGACTCTTTTAGCGTCGTCTAGTATACGTCCATTATCATCCGCAATAAATTTCGTAGTGACACAATGCCTGTCTGGCCAGCTGGGATACCATTTGGGAACTTGCCAATTTTGCAATCTTTTCGGAGCAAATGCATCTTCTGTCCAATGACCATGCCAATGTTGAGACATTTTTATATAATTTCTCTATTTAAATAACTTTAATATCCACGAATTTTAATTGTATTTGTATAATCTTCTTTCTCATCAAGCATGGCTAGTTACGTGTTACTATGTTCGTTGCTATGTGAATCAACCACCTATACAAATCGTGTACATACAAGCATAGTGATACATAAAAGTGAATGGACCTAATAATTCATATTTTCAGAACAAAGTTAGAATTATTATGTTACATACGTACTGAATTTGATCCCTTGTGTATTACGTTTGATGCATGCGATGACAATGTTATTCATTCTGTAGAACAAAAAGTTTCAAGAAAGGTAACTATAGCTCTTTATGTCTAGTGTGTTTCCTTATTTAATACAAATTTAATATATTAAGTATGCTGTGTTAAAAAAGTATGTATTTTTATAAATTTGTATATTGTAATATATAGGGAGAAGTTACCGTAGAATGGCGTACGTATGAAGTTTCCCGGCAGAATAAATTAAAAAGGATTGCTGTGACTTCCGTGCAATTGCCAACGCATACCAGTTGCGTGAGATTTTCACCTAATCAAGAATTATTACTTTTGTGTTGCATCGATGGTACTATTATGATCTACGATCAAATCAAATCGACAAGTACCAGTGTAAAAGCTGCTTTTGTAGGTTTTATCAATATATATATATGTATATTATCACAAATATTAGAATTACTAGAAAATGTATTTTAAAAGGCTTTATGATAATATTATCTATTTCTCTTCCCCTTTAAGATACCTACTTTAGCTGCTTGGCATAGCGATGGTATAATATTTGTGGTAGGTAATGATAGAGGCCAGTTTCAACACTTTGATATCACTTTAACATGTATCAAGAGCCAAACATTAAGCGACGAGGCAACGCCAGCGAATATTCTCGACTTGTCATCATATTTCAGGTATAAGCTATGAACTAAATCGACAGGGCATAGCTATAAAATTTGATTAACAAAATAATTATGTAATGTAGGAATCAGCACGCCCTATTGTATATGGAATGGAACAGAAAAACTGATGCGAGTCAGATTCGTTATCGCGCCAATGGCAATTCTTTATTCTTGTTACTTTTCGAACGGTAAGGATTACTATTTCATGCAACATGTCCGAGATACATTTATAAGATAAATAAATTCATAAAGCTCTGACGTGAAATCACAAATATCAAGTAATAAAGGATATAAGAGCCAAGACAGGATGTTGGCGCCTAAATGATTTTTAATTAGAAACCTTTCGTTTAAGACACTAACATCCTTTATTACTTCATTTTTATAAGATAATTTGTTGTGTACTAACAGAGGACCGATTGGCGTTATCAAAATGATCGAAGGCGATACTCTTTCGGGGGATGAATTGGTCAGAAGATATTTGTCAGAGTCTCGGGCGGAACAAGCAACTTCCTTGTTGTTATCGATGAACTGGGATACGTATCCACGTGTATGCATGCATTCGCTCAATCAAATCTTAAATTATTTATTCAAGTTACCATTAACAACGGAACGCGAAGGTAAAATAAAATTCCATTCACTTTTACAATCTGCGATTAGAAAAGCTAAAATCTTATTATTCTTATTATTCTAATAGGTTTGATACAGAATGCACTGGGTAGTTTTCATATACCTATTAAACCGATAAGCCAAGCTGTCGAAGAAGAATATGGGGATGAAGTGAGAGACTTGACGAGGCGATTCTTCCATCACTTGTTAAGGTAACGTGTTACTCGATGCGAATCTAATTTAATGATTCTAACAAATATGATCTTTGTAGGTATAAGATGTTTGAAAAGGCTTTCCGGCTAGCAATTGATCTAAATGATCACGATCTTTTTATGGACATACATTTCTACGCTATGGTCTTGAATGATATGGAACTGGCGACTGCAGCCAAAGAGAAAGCTGAGAGTATTCTAAGCAGATCAAACAGTTGCAGTGGCTCGCGTAAGAATTAACATATCTGTGCGAGAAAGAGCTTATAAAACACCTTGTATCTAAAAATTTTTCTAGATTCCACGTGTTCGAGAACTTCATGCTCTATATGTTCTGATTCGAGCAATGAGAAGGAAGAAGGTGAAGAGGAGGAGGAGGAAGAGGAGAACGAGGAGGCGGAGGAAGAAGAGGAGGAAGAGGAGGAGGAGGAGGGGGAGGAGGAGGAGGAGGAAGAGGAGGAGGAAGAAGATGAGGAAGAGGAGGAGGAGATAGCTACGTATAGTGAAGAGAGTGAAGATTCTCGAAGAGAACAACGACCTAATCTAAAACGGTCGAAAAAGCGACGTTATAGAAAAGCCTCCAACTCGAGTCAAATCCCACCCTTACCAATTGTCCATCCTCATCATACCGTGAAGAACACGCTTTGCGCATCCTACAATAACATTCCGTCCAACACTAAGACTGATTATATCTTGGTACCTTCGTCTCTCGACACTTGTGACAATATTTTAACAACTTCGTTTAATCACTCTTCGTACGTTTCGAGCCCATATTTAGCATCGACCTCTTTTAACAAATCATACGGTACACATTCAAATTTTACACCGACTAACGCAGTGAACATGATTAATAGTTGTCAAGTGTTTAACAACGCATCGGACGATTTGATGACCACGTCATTCGGTAGTATTTCTCTTACTGAATCAAAGGTAATGGGCGATAATCAGTCTGGCAATAATTTCGACGAGAGATCGTTACTGAACGAAATACCGTATTCTTTCAATGATTCCGCCACCAATGTAATGACAACTTGCGCGCCGGACGATAGCCTCATCTCTACTCCTTTCAACAAGCCGATATATGAAACGGAAGATGTTGAGACTAATTATTTGGCGAGTTGCTTAAACGTTGACAATAATATTATGTCGACGTCATTTAGTACTCGAATCGCTAGCACTCCTGTCTCGCGTAGCAATTCCGTCAATGCGCTAATAGCGAACAATAACGCTGAAACAACTCTATCACGAAGTGTAAAATCTTCAAAGATATCTGATAAATCGCCAACTAAATCATCTCTCATTGATACTCATATAACGGATCAATTGTCTCTTCCGGATAGTATTTGTACCACTTCGTTTAATTATCCCGAAGGATATACAACTCTTGAAGGTAGCGATATTACATTTAACAACGTCAGTAATGAAGCTGTTAAATTACAACATCCCATAATCACAGAGGAGAAGGAAACTGACATCGCTATTCCACCACCATCTTCTCTGATAAATTCCCTCACCAATTATCTTCATGGTTTACCTAGGAAAAATTATCTTTTGTCTAGAAGCGCTCAAGGTTTGTCAAATGTTAAAGAGTTGGACAAGTTTGCGTCGAATAAAACACACGTGTCGTCGGGCATTTTACAAAAACAGAATTCCACAACATGTAACATCCCTGAAAGTCAGAAAACATCTCTATCCTTCAAAACATATAGATACAATTACGATCTAGATTACATACCATTTCACGGCACGGACGACACGGACTTGCAACTTTCACAAACAGTTAGCAGAAGATTTCCCTCGCGTAACTTTCATCCTAGCTACAGCGTGCAACATGGATTATTTGAGAATAGATACTCGTCGAGATGTTCCCAAAACAATACAAATGTTGACGTGAATAGAGAAACCAAGATGCTTTCTAACGTACCACCTCTGCCTGTAATTAATTCCAAGATTTGCTCCACGTGTCCGTCGTTTGCCGACACGTCAAGTTCTCTCTCGAACGAAAAGCCAAAAGTGAAGTTTTCAGATACTGTCACTCACATACTAGTACCTGGCACAGTGAGTAATTGAAAAAGAAAAAAAAGTATATGTTGCATTTGTATATCACACACATACGTACATTCCTTTTTACAGACTCAAGTGTATAGACCAAAACGATCTACTGCTCAAACACACGTAATGGATCCTAAACGTGAACTAGCCGAGAGTCTTCCACTTTGCCTGGGTAATGAAGATTACCTTAAAGATTTTCAACCACTATGTAGTAAGCATTTTGCATGATGTTGACAAGTATTGTTTATGTGTTGTTACAGTCAAATATTAATCTTTAATATTTTGCAGAAGACAATGCGGAAAAAGTAAAAGAATCTCCGAAGACTGACGACAGTACAAAGATTAAAGTCGTGCATTTTGGTTTATTGTAAACCAGTATTATTGAAATGAACATGCGCGAGAGTGAATTAATGAGAGGATGGTTTATAAAACTTTTTGTATATATTGTAATCATCTCGGAAAGGTTAAAGAAACTTTTTCACCGATTAATTCAGTGTGGAATTTTCTCCTCTTTACTGCCTCTAACAAGAATTGAAAAAAGGGTATCATTGTACACGTACATACAAATGTCCTGCTGCTACATGTATCTAGCGTTTATTCTTTAACGTATCTAACTCGGATTTTAAGTCGACCAATTCTTTGTCCGGTATATATCGCTTCTGTTCTAGCGCGGGATCGTAAATGTTGACATTTAGAGTGACACCCTGTGGCAAGGCTGCTTCTATCGCCCTGATCAATACTGGATATTTGACGGAAGTTACTTCTGACATTTGTATATTTCTTTCGTAAATTTGGAGATTATACTCGGATGTAATTTTAGTCGTTCCAGATTTGTATTTCTGAATCTTGAATTCTTGAGGCGGGAACGGCCAGCTGAAAGAATTGTATTCAAAGTTGAGAGAGCGCAGATTAGTACTCGACGAGGAAAAGAATTGAATGAAAGTTTACCCGTTGTCTACGTCAATCTGTATGGCATCCGCCAACTTGTGTATATAAGACTGGTAACTCTCGAGCACAGGATAATCGTAACCCCTAATTTGCACATTTATTACGGGTAGGAGCGGAAACTTTGATTTACCTGTCTGTAAAAAAGGGAATAGCTGGCGTATACTTAAAAACTGATGAATACGCCTGTGGACTAACCTCCAAATAATCCGGCTCGTACAGACTTCCGGTATAGAATTTGCCCGATAAGGTTTTTCTCGCGAGTGAACGTCCTCCGAGCACTGCGATCTAGAATAAAAGAACAATTGTCAAGAAGCCTGAATGGTGTGCGACGATGGCATACAAATAATACAAGCATCCAATCATGTAGATTACAATTGTACAAGATTATACAACTCGAGGATATCGACGATACACCTGTTTGCTCAGATTTAAAGCCATTTCCAGTACGGTGAAATAATCAGGCTGGTAATTTTGAGGAAACTTTTAATTCATAATAATCCAATAGTCGAGAGTTTTTATTTACACCATTACCGACCGTGCCGACTTCTATCCGGGGCTCCGCGGGCGATCATCTCGGATCAGCTGATCGCTCGTCCCTAAAGATGACGTTTACGACATATTGCGACGTGTCGTTTCATGGAAAACCTTCGTAATAAGTTAACCTAGTGTTTGCCAAACTTTTATAATCGCGCAAAGCTCTTTTATAATCGCGAGGTACGGAAATTATTTTTTATAGATACCGTTGAAAGTTTTTTATTCTTGGCCAGCAATTACGCGAGGTTATGAAAAGAGCCGTTAACAATATATATACGTGGCATATCGAAGAAACGTTCTTCTATTATTTGCCACCTGTCTCGATGATTTGCTGAATAACGGCCTTTTGCCACAAGAAAATGATGGATATCGAGACGGAAAATGTGATAAATCTTATATTTCCAGAAGGCATTCCAGGTAAGAGTGGTTGCGGCCCACTTAGAAATTAATTGTTTACGCATTCATCGCTCAACGATGCGAATTTTCCAACTGCCATTTCAGACTCTTGGAAGGAAAATCCCGATTTTTATCAGTATCTCTCGAAACTTGGAGGCTTCGATGTAGACCAGCTAAGTAAGAGTTCCTTGATCGTCCCAGTTGGATGTTAGTACTTTTTCCATTATGATGAAAACTTTTCAGGTAAAGAACCTGATCATTTGTCCGATGAGAAGAACGCGGTACTTCGGACTACGCAGAAATTGGTCTTTGCAAACTACAAAACCTTTATTCAGACGGCGGAAAGCTCACGAGAGATACTCAATCATGTAATTTCACATAATCTAGAAACTGAAATCTAAAGAAAGAGATTAGGATCGTTTGGTTTTCAGTTCAACGAGACCGAAGGTCGTCTTGACAAACTTGTACAGAAGATCCCAGAATTTGTAGGGAAATGTCAATCGTTTTGCGACACTTCAAAGGACATTAACGCGCATCGTAGACTAAACAGTTTGACGCTAACGCGAAATGCGGAGCTACTTGAAATTCTCGAGATGCCCCAACTGATGGAATCGTGCTTGAGAAGCAACCAATATAACGAAGCATTAGAATTGTCTCAGTACGCGCGTCAATTAGGAATGAAGCACGGGGATATTCCTATTATCTCGGTACAAACTTGAGAATCTTTCTTTACGCGAGTTCTCTTTAGTGCAACCTTTGTAATTTGCTTTTCTCTTTTGTCAATACTTGAGTCTATCGTGGCAGAGATCGAAAGCAGCTGGTCGGGTATGGTAGGACAGGTAGTTGGCTCTCTGAGGGGGGATTTGCCGCTCCCGAGATGTCTTCAGCTCGTAGGTTTATTGCGGTCCATGGATGCGTTTACGGAATCGGAACTTCGTATTAAATTCCTTCAAGCGAGAGACAGCTGGCTTCAAGGCCTGTTGAACGCGATACCGAAGGAAGACGGTAAGATGATTTTATTCAAGTATCACACAACACGGTACGATACATTTTACGTATATTACAGCAAACCTTCACATGGCCAAAACGATCGAATTATCCAGGATACACTTGTTCAATATAATAACTCAGTACAAAGCTATGTTTAACGACGATGAATTGGTGATTCCCGGCCGCGACCTGACGCTAAATGAATCTGCGATATTTTATCACTGGTTGGAGGAAAAGGTAGATTTGTACGGGTGTAAGACGGTAGAACGTGAATGACAAATTAAGGCTCCCTTCTTCTAGATATCGCAATTTCTTGCTACCCTGGAGCAGGATTTACCCGGCGTGACGTCTATAGATACCATTCTGGGCCAGTGTACATACTTTGGATTGTCATTTGGCCGAGTGGGCGTCGATTTTACTGGCCGAATGTCCGATATATTTGTACGAGTGATCGGTGAGAGGTTTGAACAGAACGTTCGTAGAACAACTAGAAAGTTTGAGAAAGACATGGAGACATTTACGTTGATCAACAAAACGCAACGACTCGATATTAAAGCAGAGACTTGCGTTAATTCTGTAAGTATTAAGTCGCGTCTTCATTCATCCGCACTTGTAATTTGACTTACAATTGTAAGCTGCCTCGTAGGAAAATCCGCCTGAACAACTGGTAGAATTTTATCCTCTGGCCGAATACTGTAACGGGATAATAGCAGCGTTCAATGAATTGAGACTCTGTGCACCGGTGGCACTGTCTGCTTTGTGCACAAAATTACTAGAAGAATCGTTGCACAATGTGGCGAGAGCCATGCTGGTGTTTTACAAGCAGGAGCAGCAAGTGGGTTTTCGTTGTCACGTAATTTTTCTACGTGTATAAATTCCATGTTTTCAAGATGTATGTCGTAGGCATTCGCTGCTGCGGAACGGGAAAACATGATCAAGTTCACGGAATGTTTGAGCGAACAATTAATACCTTATATACAGTATTGCGTACACGCGATTTTTCCACCTGGCCAAATTGCAACGCACCTAGGAATATCGGCCAGTGTGCTCCAGAGAGAGGTACGCGCGAGCCCTTGAAAAGACGAGAAAGAAGGCGCGGGAGTTGAGAGATGTGTAAAACGATTATGTAAAATAATTTGCAGGAGATGACGTATTTGAATAAGCGGAGCATAGTGGAGCCTGTGGCTGTATTGTTACCAATTAAAAAAGATTCTTTGGCTTCTAAATTATGTACGTCCAACGTGCAGCTATTGACGTCGCACAATGCAAAGAATCCTTCCGTGGCAACATCTCTGCCAACGGAAACGATCGATTCAAACTTGAGGAAGACTACTGCGATAGACAAGGAACAGTAGCGCAGAAATTCACCGACGATATAAAAAGTATCGTGTAATGTATCCGATATGAGAAGAATCCAAGTATTGAATGGAATGTAAATTTGGACAAAATTGCTTACTAATACATCTATACGCGTATAGATAGGTCGTGTAAATAAAAAAGTTTGTACAATCGCTGAGGCGGGCACTTGTTTTTATTGTTTTGAGAATGCGTACAGAGGAAATAAAAAATTCGACAAAGACGCAAAAGTGGAAAATAATAGAATGTTAAGGGTAAACGCAAAGCGATTAGGCTCCAATGGCTATCGAAAATATGATTATTCTTTCATAGATTCCTCCGTAACTTGACTCGGCTGCGCGGTCTCGTTCTCATTTTTCTTCTTTTTACTTCCCGACACAATGTCGTCTATTCTCAACAATAGAATGGCAGTCTCGATCGCCGTTTTATACGTCTGTAGCTTTACAGAGAGCGGCTCCCATATACCGCGCTCCCTCATATCGACCAATTTCCCCGTTTCTCCATCGATGCCCCAAGTAGTACCCTCCGTCGCGTGTTTGGCGCGCAGCGCCGTCAGAGTTCTGATGGTATTTGCGCCGCAATTCTGCGCCAGCGTCCTGGGGATGATCTCCAAGGCCTGTGCGATCGCTTTGTACGGCCATTGCTCGACACCCGCGAGACCTGCCGCCTTTTCCGTCAAGAGCCGGGACACTGCCATTTCCACTGCTCCGCCACCTGTGGGATGATATAACGTGTAAGAATGAAAAGAAGGTGAATGATAAGAAGAAGGTAATCTCGCGCACCTGGTACGAGCTTTGGATCGATGAGGAGATTTCTAGCGACGTGCAGCGCATCCTGCAAGTTCCTCTCGGTCTCGTTCAAGATGTCTTTGCTGGCGCCTCTCAGAACGATGGTGCAGGCTTTAGGATCTTTGCACTCGGTGATGAAGCAGAAGTAATCGTCGCCGAGCTTTTTGATCTCGAAGAGACCGGCTCCCGTGCCAACGTCCTCTTCCTTGAGTTCTTCGGTACGATTGACGACGGTGGCACCGCAGGCGCGGGCAATCCTGTTGATGTCGCTCTTACGTAGCCTGCGTATCGCGGATACACCGGCTTTCACGAGATAATGCTGAGCGAGATCCGATATACCCTTCTCCGTTATCACGACGTCTGGCTTGACCGAAATCACATCCTCGCAGATCTTCTTCACGTGTTCCTCCTCCAGTTCCAGAATCTTTGTGAAATCGACGTCCTTCATTATCTCTATGTTGGTCTGAGATTCGCCCTTTTTGTACTCCAACGGACAATCCAGCAGCACTATTCGCGGATCCTTGATGTAACGTCTCATCTTGGGATGCGTCACATCCTTGTTGATCATGACACCCTTGAGGACAGTGCTGTCCTCTATGGTGCCGCCGGGTATCTTCTCCACCTTGGCGTAACGCTTGATGTCGATCTCTCTCCTGCCATTCTCCTCGAGCATCACCGTATGAACGGCGTCCAGAGCGATTTGGCAAGCCAACTCGGACCAGCGTCTGATGAATTTCGTGCCCGTGCACGAGTTTATTACTTGAACCAGCTTGTCCTTGTCGTCGCAATCCAAGTCGACGCTGATTTGTTCGTTAAGAATGGTCACCATGTCCTCCAGAGCCTGACGGTACGCTCTTATGATGACGGTAGGATGCATGTTTTGTTCCAAGAACGGTTCAGCGGTAGCCAAGATCTCGCCCGACAGGACAATTACCGAGGTCGTGCCGTCGCCCACCTCTTCATCCTGCGTCCTAGCGATCTCTATCATGGACTTTCCAGCGGGATGCTGCACGGTGATCTCGCGCAGAATCGCGTTGCCGTCGTTTGTCATCACGATGCCGCCCATCGGATCCATCAACATCTTCAACATGGCTTGCGGACCCAGGCATGTTCTGATCACGTCGGCGATTGCCTACAGAGACAAGAAAATTCTCGTTAAACCTCTTTCAACTCGTTCGAGATATATATATATATATATGCGATTTCACGATTATTAGTTGGCGCCTCCATTTATTTGTGCATCAATTGTAAGGATTCTTATGTGTGGGCGTGTATCTCGCGGTTGGGAGCCGCGACTACCGCTCGGAATGCCTTATAAGGGCAGCGTTGGAGCATGGCGCGTAGATGGACTCGAGCTCACCTTGCCCGCCTGGATGTTCTCTCTCTGTACTTTTCTGCCGGAGTCACGCCTCGTGTTTTGGCCTGCGATTATTATACGGTTCATGGTTAGAAAGGCAAAAGCGTTCGCGCGAAACTGCCAAACGTGCGAGAAACGAAGGATCGACTTTGACTTACTGAGAACGACGATTGGTGCTGCGCCCGGGCCAAACATTGTTTTTCCTTTATTGTTGTTACGTGTTTTTTCTTACCACACTGATCGGCGTTGGCCGTGACTTTTCCCGCAAAGGCTGAGGGGAACGTCTTTAGTCAGCGCTGCTCCAAGATGGAAACACGCGTGCGAACGAGCACGAACAACGTACGTGTCTTTGAGAGAGAGAGTCGGCTTCGATCTCGATAACGTTGCGTTCTGCAACATCGACGGTGCTCGAGGTGGGTTCGCGCAATCTTGGAAGAAATTTTAGAAATTTTTTCGGTGATGCCGCGCGGGCCAATTTCATTGTCGGATGGCATCACGCGCATTGCAGTTAATTGGTATATGCATTGGTAAAAATAGTAAAATGTGTGCCTAACCAATACGAATTGCAACAGTATGGAGTAATGCGACGGTGTGGTAGACGTGCGATGAGTTTCTGATTACTTGACCCCTCGACACGATCAGACACGATCAGACACGATGGAGAGTACAAACGACAAGTTTTTCTACGTCTACAGCTCTTCGTTAGACACCAGGATACAAGTTAAGATGTAAGTTTCCATAAGTCCGCATTACTGTATCGCGCAACGCGATAAGAACGTATGATGCAAACACATCCATTAATTATGCTATCGTGAAATAATCGGATCAGAGTAATTAACGCATGTGCGTGTGTTGCAAACATTTGGTCTTAATCTCTAGTACCGATTTAGCGCATCCGTAATTGGCAGTCTTTAGAGACGTGTGACGTTGTCAGACAATTGTCATTGTCCGGTTGCTTTACAGAGGTACCCTGGAGGGCAAGAGACACAGACCCGAGTACGACGAGCTACTCTTGGACCCCTTGCTGAAATACTCGGGTCTATACGAGAGCGGTGGGATCCGTGGAGATCTAGCCGCGTCTCTCCAGGTATGGGCTGGCGGTAGACCGCTGGCTCTGCCTGTGCACACAGCCTACAAGCACTTTACCACCCGTTGGAAGTACGTTACGTTTTGCATCTAAGCAAAGTTGTCTCAACATCTCTTATCGAGACATTCGACTTTCGATTTTCAGCTGGAACCAGTGGGTCTATCTGCCACTTTCCTATACAGATTTGCCACGCGACGCCCAGCTGTGCATAACGCTCTACGACTGTGCAGGGCCTGGCAGACAGCTTCCAGTAGGCGGCACGACTATATCGTTATTCGGCAAGCATGGAGTGTATCGGCAGGGCATGTTGGATCTTCGAGTATGGCCTGGGATAGAGGCTGACGGCAGTGTTCCGACTAGTACCCCGGGGAAAGCCAGAGATCATGGGAAAGAACAGATGCAGAGGCTCGCCAAGCTCGTTAAGAAACACAGAAATGGACAAATCAACAAAATTGATTGGCTAGACAGGTTAACTTTCAGGGAGATTGAATTAATCAATGAGAGGGAGAAAAGAGCATCGGAATATCTCTATTTGATGATAGAATTTCCAGAGGTAACGATGGACGGTGTACCGGTATGTATTATACGTATATGTGTAAAATTTGCTACGTATCAAGTGACAAGATTAATTGATCATTTATCCGTTTCACCGTATTACAGTATTCAATTGTGTATTATGAAAAAGACGGTGATGAGGTTTTTCAACATAGATTACAGCCAGACGTTGTGACGCTTCCCGACTATGAAATTTTGCAAGTAAGATTTTACCAAGGGAAATTGCGATTGATCTGAAAGTCGAATATTTCGAGAATGTAAACGTGTAAATTTTCTGCCAGGAGAACCTCGTGGAGGCGAAACATCACAAACTGGCGCGCAGTTTACGTAGCGGAGGTAATACTCGCGAATTGAAACCTACCTCGACCGTGCGGGATGCCTTAAATACGATACTGGGATATCCCCCGACAACCGCACTGTCCACCGAGGAACAGGATTTAATTTGGAAATATAGATTCTATTTGTCTAGTCAGAAGAAAGCGTTGACCAAGTTTGTAAAATGCGTCAACTGGAAGGTCGCCGGTGAGGAACGCCAAGCTTTGGAGATGTTAGCTTTGTGGGCCCCGCCGGATTCCGAGGACGCCTTAGAACTACTAGGACCCGCGTTCACTCATCCGGCTATTAGGAGATACGCGATTAGCAGGCTTAATCAAGCTCCTGACGACGATTTAATGTTGTACCTGTTGCAATTGGTACAAGCGTTAAAGTATGAAGACTTTGAAAGCATCAAAGCTGCTTATCAAGCGATGTTGAAGGAGAAGGAGGAAAGGACCGAGTCGAGAAATTGGAGCACTGAAAAACTGGAGAGAAGCGAAAGATTGGAAAAAACAGAGAAACTAGAGAAAAGCGAAAAAGACGTAAGGAACAGCGATTCCACATCTACCCCGGTTACAACTGTGAGTATCAACGTGATGTATCTTTGTAGAATGTACGCTATATGCACATCCCAGTCTAACTGGATTTTGCACTTTGTTTGCAGTCTAGTGAATCGGAGAGCCAGTTATCGACGAGCCAAGAACCGCTTATGGATCTGGCATCATTTTTAATCACTCGCGCTTGTCAGAACTCGATGCTGGCCAATTATTTCTATTGGTATCTCTCTATCGAGTGCGAGGATCAAACTGATCCCGCGATAAGCGCTAAACAAGATACGCGAGTTAGGGAAATGTACGTTACCGTAATGAAAATGTTTTCCATGATGTTGGCGCAGGGGAATACCATTTGGCAAAAGAGAAGAGCGTTCCTCTTGCGACAGAAGATTTTCATCGACCAATTGGTGTTTCTGGTAAAAGCAGTCGCGCGCGAGAGCGGAAATCGAAAGAAAAAAACTGATAGATTGAGAGCATTGCTGACGGATCCAGATCCGGCGTTCAAGATTAATTTCTCCAATTTTGAGCCGATACCTTTCCCCTTGGACCCTGAAATTTGTATCAAGGGAATTATCCCGGAAAAGTACGCATTCTCGAGTTGGTTCGTGTATCGGTGCACCAACGTTCACACTACTTTATACCTAATATCTATTTTATTAATTTATAGAGCGAGTCTTTTCAAGTCTGCGCTCATGCCATCAAAACTCACATTCTTGACGACAGACAATACAGAGTACATTGCCATCTTTAAACACGGAGACGATCTACGACAAGATCAGTTAATTTTACAAACGATAGCGCTTATGGATAAATTATTAAGAAGGGAGAATTTGGATTTGAAACTAACTCCGTATAGGTAAAACTTGTTGTAAGGTAAAAGATAACGAACATTACCGTCTAACTCGATTGTGTAATTCAGGGTGCTCGCAACAAGCACAAAGCATGGTTTCGTACAATTTATCGAATCTACAACGGTTGCGGAGGTTCTGGCTAGCGAAGGATCGATATTGAATTTCTTTCGAAAACATCACCCTTCCGAAACTGGACCTTACGGAGTAGTACCTGAAGTCATGGACACCTACGTTCGCAGTTGCGGTAAGCACGAATAATATATTTGTATATGAAAAACGAATAAATGGTATACATATCGCTCAAGTCATTTATTTCAAATGGTATAGCCGGTTATTGCATCATTACGTATGTACTGGGCGTCGGCGATCGTCACTTGGACAATCTGTTGCTCACAGCATCAGGTATGTTCTCGCTAACATTCTGCTAGTAAACCAAAATCTACAAAGTGTCTTGCAATTTGCAGGCAAACTCTTTCACATCGATTTTGGCTACATCTTGGGCAGAGATCCAAAACCTTTGCCCCCTCCAATGAAGCTCAGCAAAGAGATGGTCGAAGCTATGGGCGGTGTCGGTTCGGAACATTATCATGAATTCCGAAAACAATGTTACACGGCATTCCTACACTTGCGTAGGCACGCCAATTTGATATTGAATCTCTTTTCGTTGATGGTAGACGCCAGTGTTCCCGATATCGCCCTAGAACCGGACAAAGCCGTCAAGAAGGTCCAGGATAAATTGCGATTGGACTTGAGTGACGAAGAGGCTGTGCACTACGTGCACAATCTTTTAGATTTGTCAGTCACCGCGGTGATGGCTGTGCTGGTGGAACAACTCCACAAATTTGCGCAATATTGGAGAAAGTAATAAGACGAAACCAATGTACAGCGAAATCATACAGATTGTGTTCCTTTCTAAACGGTAGACGATCGTTGTATTGTATATAAAACGACCACAGCGTATTTGTAACATAATAATATAATTTATTGTATTTTGGGAGTATTTTAGGTAATAAATCTTTAATAAGAATCATTATTTTCTTGCTTGATACTTTTCCAGCGAGTTTGACACTGACTCGGCATCTAAAAACTTTAATGCGTTTAATTACTATGTTGGAACATATGTATACAATAATTACGAAATCTACAAACGAATAATTTCGAGAAAAAGACAATGTTACACATATAACTTGTTTTATCAAAATTTCAACGAGCGTGCCCAAGTGCAAAAATATGCTTTTTTTTTACCATTATAAAATGGTGTAGTTAATCGTAGTAGGATATCTACGGCAGAGAAGTAAGAAGACATATTCATTGTACATGTAATCAGTTATGTAAATACTCGTATATTTATTTTATTCTTAATTACAAGTGTATGTGGTGCACACAATAGAAATAAATGTAAATAGATGATATTGTTAGTGTTGAAAATATTAGATTATTATCGACATGAAACGCAGAGGAGAGCTATTCTATTCGTCAGTATCACTTTATACCATTTATGAATTTAATAAAGTCAACAAATACATACTTTATCATATATATGTATCAGAAAGATTTCTCTTCACTTTTTGATAGAAAAAAATGTAGTTATACTTTTCAATCTTGCGTCTGCAAATATACACAAATTTTAATGTAACTTCTTTGATACATACGTACACTTGCATATAAATATACATATATATCAAAAGAATTTAAAACTAATTACAGAACAATAACAATTCAGTCCGTCCTTGAAGTTTTCTCAGGTTTTTTTTTGCGATGCACGTAATGACAGTATATCGTACAAGTTTGACATGAGAATACACACTTTTTATCTCCCAATATCAACATAATATATACACGCGTAACCATAATTAAAAACGCCACGAGAAATAAAAACATTGATTTATTTTTATATAACGTGAGATTATAATAAAGAATATAATTTTTGTTATGACATTTTGGTAAATCTGTCTTGCTTGAAGATTGTACAAAAATCCTCAAGAATTATTTCTACCATACCACGCAATTACAATTTCTTCGCGTTTATAAACGTTCTCCAGATTAACTTAGGCACGTCTCAAACACGATTTTGTAACAATCAACTTCTTTTACTCGTCTTCTTCTCATCGATTGCTTCATTAGCAAGGTATTCTTTATATAAGTAAAATAATAAACACATTTTAATTTTTGTATATACATATACATGTATGTGTGCGTGTGTGTGTGTGTGTGTGTGTGTGTGTGTGTGTGTGTGTGTGTATAAACTATAAACTAAAACATAAGCTAAATAATGACCCTCGTTTCGCTCAGAGCGTTGCACATTCTACATTGCGATTGATAAATCGCTATTTAACAAATTACATTGTTGACATTGAGCAAAGCGAGGCACAATTTATTCGGGAAAGTTAAGTCTTTAAACGACAGACCAAGAGTTCCCGTTTCTCGCGTTTTCATCGAGTTGTAGGGTGTACATCGTTATGAATATATAGTCAGAAATATTGTGCTCTTTGCTTCTCAGCAGAGCCATAGCAAACCGAACGGCTGTCACAGATGCAAGGGAGTGAATAAAACAAGCGAGAGCATTATCAGTCTCGGTTAATATTGAAGATTTACAGAGCAAAATCAGGACCTCCATTAGGCTTGTTACGGTTCCGTTCTCTTTTAAACAACCACACATGAGCTCTTACAACTGTTACAAATGAACGACTGCTTACGTTACATGACATTACGGAACAATGGTAAAATTCTAGGATGTTATGACTTTTCCTTTGTCGCGATCCGCGATATAGTATGAAATTGGTTTAACCACCGTTACACTCGTTATCACGACACGACGAAAGAAATCTTTATCGTGCGATAACCATTGCGCAATTTTCACCATTGCTCCATTGTAGACACACACACATACACGCACGCACACACACACACACACACACACTCACTCACTCACTCATTCACTCACTCACACAGCAACAGACAGACAGACAGAAATATTGACGGAAATCGACAATCGTTCATCCGACATGAATCTTTATGATACTCCAAAGAAAGAATAATGATATATGTATTCTTTATATATAAATAGCCTGCTTTCCTTCGTTTAGCGATTGTATGGACATTCCCTCTTTCTTCGTCACATATCAAACGTCGATGACGATAAAATGAAGACTGCAAGATTATTTTGATGAAACTGTGTATTGGATAATATCGAATCCTATAATCCATATCCTACGATTACACTCGTAATTCTTTCCTCTTGTGTTTTTTATTTTATTTTTTTCGTTTTCGTTTCAGTATGCATAAATGCACGCGTGCTTGTACGTGAGTGCATTCGATTGTACATCTAATAAGAGCCTAGCGATAAAATCTAACGCGAAATTTCACTGTAGTCTACAAGTCTAAGCGCTTACTTAATATTACTATAATTAACTTAACGCGTTATATTTACATTAAAAAATAGATTCAAGAGTTTGTGTGCGGGCGGCGCGCGCCCGACAGTCTATTTCAAGTGGAAACTCGTGTCGTTACCACTACCCCCCGCGCAGTATATTACCTGTCCATAGGCCTAGTAGCTGGCACCGAGCTCTCGACAAGATCATGCCTCTCGATCGGCGAGTTCTCCAAAGTATAGTCGACCGGGTATCCCCCCTCGGGATACGTTGGAGTAGCCTCACCCTGCTGCCTCAGTCTGAGTTCGCTCGGTCGCTCCCGATACTGCTCGGTCTTGCCGTCCAGATCGTCCGTGGAGTAGTAGCTCTGACTCGCCTCGCTCTCGGGTCTGTTGGGGTCGTAATAGCCGGGCGAGATGCCATGACTGGTGTAATTGGGCGTCTCCTCGGCCGGGGCGAAGTAGCTCTGACTCACCTCCTGGGGATTACCCTCGTAGTAGCCACCGGGCGTGACATGCTCCTCGTGCGGATCCTCCTCCAAACGTGAGTTGGCGTCCTGATCGACGGACTCGTAGTAGCTCGCCGTCACTTCCTGGTGGTGAGCGTAATAGCTGGACGGCTCGTTCCGATGACGGTCGCTGCTCTCCGTGACAAAGTTTTGCGAGCAGGTCTCTTCCAGGCCGGGCATCGAGATCGGCACCTCGTACGACGTCGATACGTTCTGCTCGACTATCACCTGGCCCTCGTAGCTGGACGTAGGCACAGAGTCCACGTGGTGGGTCGACGTGATGTCGGGATTCAGGTTGTACGACGAAGAGGTCGGAATCTCCGGGACGCCGTTGTCGTGGATGCTGGTATGCTCCGCGCTGACCGACGTGTCCGGTATCACGCTGGACGAAGCGATGTTGAGCTCCTCGCACGGCGGTATCTCGTACGACGACGTGCTTATCGCGCTCTCTTGATCCTGATCGCGCTCCTGGTTCTCGGGTGTCTCCGGCACGTAGGACGAACTCGCTGTCTCGTCCTCGTTCAATCCGGAATTATTTGTCGACACGGACGACGTGCCGATACCATCGGCACCGACGTCGTTCGACTGCGACGGTATATTGCCCTCCTGACTCATCTCCGCATCGGTTTCCAGATTCTCCGCCATGCTCTCGCCCTTGTCGACTTCGTAGCTCTGCGTGGGGAAGCTCTGATCGTCGATCGCCTCGTCGGCGCTCGGTCGCTCCACGACCTGACTCTGTACGATCTCGTTGAATGATTGCGTCGGCGCGTTTACATTGGATTCCGCCGAGGCCTCGTAAGACTGGGACGCTTCGTTCGTGCTCTGTGTATGTTCGAAGGACTGAGACGGTGGTTCCGCTACGACAGTCTCCTCGTCCGTCTCCATCGGCTCGTACGCGATCGACTGTGTGGCCTCGCCCGATGAACTCTCCAACTTGGTGGGGGCGGATTGACTAGGTAGATCCGTCGAGTCGCTGCTGACCGAGACGTTGAACCGCTCGTACTGAGACTGCGAAGGCGTCTCTTGACTAGCTTCCACGATCATCGTCTCCTCCTCCTCCTCCTCGAATCGCAGTTCCATGCTCTGGCGCAGTCGACGTCTGTCCGTTTCCTCCTGCGACGACGGCTCGTCCCTCTGACAATCCTCCACATCCTGCTTGCCGGTCGTGCTTCTGGCAAACAGATCCGGTTTGACCGCCTCGTCCAACTCCATAGATTCGGCCGACAGAACTCGCGCTGCTGCTCGAATCTTCTCTTGGTTCGTGCCTGCTACCTGCTGGTCCGTCAACGTAGCTTTACCACCAACTTCTTCAGAGACCGTCAGCCGTTTCAGTTTGTCCGTCGCGTTTGCCTCGTGTGACTCGCTCGCGAGTTTGCGCTCGCTCGAGTCTGTCACCTCAAAGCTCAATTGTTGTATCGATTCTATTTGCGAATTAGATTCGGACGTGATCAAGGTGGTTTCGTTTGCCGAAGCATCGCTCTTCTTATTCCCAATCTCGACGACTTCTTCTCTCGGAATAACTTCCATCGTGCTCGAGGCTGTATCTTCGTCAGCCGATTGCAGAATCAACTCCTCGGATGTGTTGGCAACTTGCCGACAAGTGTAAACCTCCTGCAACGTCGTAGGCTGCTCCTCGTCCACGTTTTTGTTGATCGACGTGATCGGCTTCTGCGGAGAGGTCGGAACCGTCACCGTCATGTCCTGTATCTCCGATACCGGCACATCTGCCACGAACGTCTGCTCGGTAACGATCGTAGTGGCTAATTGCGAATTATCCGCGTATGCATCGTCGATAATCGGCATCGACGGGGTAGTTTGTACCTGCGGGTTCTCCAAAACTATGCCGTCTGTCATAGCGACCGTGTACGAGGTCGACGGTGCGAGCGCAATCTCGGCGCTCTGCACGTTCTGCGTTTCCGCGGCCGCGATATTCTCCTCCAGATTCGGAATCACCAAGTACTGAGTACTCGCGGGAATCTCGGTGCGAGCTATCTCCCCGCTCGTTACCGTCGCTACCGGGCCACTCTCCATAATCTCACCGATGTCCGGCATTGAGTTGCCGGGGATCTGAATCTGTGTCTCGCCTGCGGCGGATATGTAGGAGATGCTAGGATTTGTAATAGTGATCGGTAGCTCGAGGGAGGACGGGATAGTGGAGACCACCGACGTGGGAGTCGAGTCCGTCGACTGAATCGGCAGATTGCTCGGTACCTCGAGCGGCGTCATAATCGGTTGATTCAGAGTCAGCGAAGTCTCCAGCACCGAGGGCGAAGATATCGGTTCCGTGGGTGGTATGATGGTTGACTGCAGTATCGTCTGATTGATGAGACTCGTCTGAGTCAGTCCGGTCTGGGTCATTACGCTGCCCGCTTGATTCTCCGGCAAACTGATCTCCTGCTGAAAGTCCGTGTTAGCGAGAGCAGCCGCCAGGATGTCCTGGTTGGACGTTTGTATCACCTCCGTTGCGGGAAAACTCTCGCTTGCGATCACCGCCTGACTAGCCTCTGTCGCATTCGTCTGAATATTCGGCAAGACGCTGTTGTCGAACTGAAGAACAATGTTGTCTAGTGTCCCGGCCTCTCCCAGAGAACTAGGATCTATGTACAAGGTTCTCGTGCCGTCCGGGTTCTGCGTGGTTCCTTCCAACGACATGAGAGCATTATTATCGAGCGGCTGTATCTGTCCTTGTTCGTCTATCGTCACCAATACGTAGGTTTGCGTGCCATCGCTGCTTTCCGTCGGCAGAGCCATGATCTGAGGCTGCGCCGCGACTTTCGGCTCCTCCGCTTTTTCCGCGTCGCCCTTTTCAGTTTGCAGTTTCTCAGCCTTAGCCAGCTCTTTCCGTGGGGAGGTGTCCGGAAGACCGGCCAGCTTTGCCTTCTTCTCCGCACCGAATGACTCTAACGAAGATAAAGTAGTTGCAGCGACATTCACGTTCGACGTGGTGGCGGTGCTCGTTGAGTTCACAGCGATGTTCAACAGATTTTTCTGCGCCTTACTCGGGGCTTGAGATTTGCCGGAGGGTTTCGAAGTCGCGAGAGCCGTCTGTTTCGACGACCGGGCGACCGTCTTGGAGGCGGTAAAGGAGGTAACGGAGGTGACGGGGCTGATGGGGCTGACGGCGGCCGTGGCAGTTGTGATGGTCGCGGCGGTCACGATGACCGTCTGCTTCGCTTGCTGCACCGCCGACACAAGTGGCTCTTGCACTTTCTGGACGACGAGCTTTTGCTGACTTTTCACCTGGCGGTTGCCGGTTCGAGGAATAATGACTTTCTGCACAGTTGGCGACGCAGCGGCTTTGCTCTTCGGCTGCATTTGCTGCACCATCGTTACCGTTTGTTGCGTACCGCTCGGCGAAACGACGCCCTGAATGGTGGCACCTGGTTGTACCAACACTTGTTTAATAATCTTCTTGCCCTGCGATAAGGTTTTTTGAGACGCCGCACCGGCGTTGGCAGTGTTTTGGAGAATCATCGTGCTGCCCGCTGATGATTTCGCGGACGTCTTTGTTTGCGAGCCTGCTGCCGCGATCGACATCTTCGGCGGAGACTTTTGCTGCAGTACCGGCAGCTGTACTGCCTTTTGCTGTAGCTGATACTGCACCTTGCCGCCTTTAACCGGACTCTTTGCGGCAATGGCTTTGACCTGTTGCCCGGTTATCGGCGTCAGAATGGTACCTTTGTTACTGACGACAGCTTGCGTGCCCAATATCGTTTTACCGGTGATGGTTTGAGACACCGGTGTCAAGATCGCTTTCGTACCACTTAGATTTTGAGCTTGGGAAGTCAAGAGAGTCGCGCCACCCTTCGTAACTAGAGCCTTCGAGCCGATTATCGTCTTTCCGCTCAAAGCCGAAGCGCTGATCGGGGTATAGATGCCATCTTTCGTGAGAATGCCCTGGGACAATGTGCCCAATAATGCTGTCTTAGCGATAGTACCTGAAATCGGAGTAAGCACGCCCTTGGACGTGATTATGCCCTGCGTATTAATGATCTTGGGACTACTCAGACTACTAGTGGCCAATTTGGAGGTAGTAGGTGAGCTGCCAGCGGCAGCGACGGTATCGGCCTTTGGCGTGATGAGAGTCTTAGTAGCGATTATATTACCTTGCGGACTAATCGGGCACAGCAGCTGACCTTTGCCCGTTACGATCCTCTGTACTTTGCCGCTCAGAGTCTTGGAAATATTGAGCGGCACCATCTTGGTCTGGCAGGACTGTCCCGACGTCAATATTACGACTTTGCCACCTTGTTGAATCACTTGCGCGTTGCCTGCCGCTTTGCCGCCAGTTGGAATAGCAATTTTCTGTTGCGTGCCAGACTTGCCTTGAACGCTGTAACGCAGTTGTTGGCTACCCGCCGTCTGCACGACGACATACTTTCCTGGCGTGGCACCCTTCTGCGTCAATAGGGTTGGCGTTTTACCGGCCGGTTGAGCGCTCTGAAATTTCAAACCCTTCACACCACCGGTGAGTGGTGGTACCAGCGGTTTAACGTTCGTGATTGTTGGCTTCGCTTTGCTCTTCGTCTTCAATATCGCTGGCACACCGCTCTTCTTCTTTGTCGGCGACGTTTCCGCCGAGGTAGCCTCGTTCGCGATCTTGAATTGAGCCTGCTGGGTGGGCGACACTATCTGCGTGGTCGGAGTAAAGGAGAGCGTGGCTGGGATCGAGCTGGAAGCTGGTATAATGGAAGATATAACGACGGGCATTTGTTCGATGCTCTCTGGCGTCAGCACGTCCTCGCTGAGGACGAACGGCATCGAGTTAATGTCCAGTTCCATGTCCGCGAGACTTTGAGCACTTTGTTGCACGTATTTCTCTCTTACCGGCGTGGTCACGACAGTCTGCGTGGATGTGGCTGAGCCTTGTTCCTTACTCTGTGCCTCCAGAAGCGCTTCTGTCTCCTCTGTCTTTAATACTTGAAGCTTTTTCGTCAGAGTCATGTGCGGGCTGGATTTTATAGCAGTTTTCACCTTGCTATTCGATGGTAAAGTCTCTATTTTTATTATTTTTGCCTTGGGACCGCTCTTTTGATCGCTCTTTTTCACAGCGTCCACTTCCAGCTTGTGCTTCACTCCTTTCTGTGGTATCTTATCGTGCGACTTTGTCTTCAGAATTTGGACCGGCTCAGTCAATGTTACACTTTCTATTATTCGCGGCATTTCACGCTTTTTTACCGGTACACTGATGTCAGACGATAAAGGTGACGTGGCTGCTGTCAACATTTTCGAAATGTCATCCAATTTTTTGACACTGGAGACACTCTTGGCGTTATTTTCCGAGTTGGGAAGTGTTTCCGATTGAAGCAATGGTTTAGACACACTAACAAATTCGCTGGACGACGACCCAAGTTGATGACCGTCAGACTCGAGTATACCAACTCCAATTTTAGTGTCAATCTCACTCTTTTCTTCGACAACAACCTCAACATTCTCAACCTCGCTCACAACCGGGACATTTTCTCCGATTTGAATATTTTCCGAGATCTCCAAATCTTCGTTCACAGTGTCAATTTTTTTACTTTGTGCAGCTGCACCAGCAATACTCGCATCGATCTCTTCAACCTTCCGCTTGATCGCCTTCTTCTCCTTTTTCCCTTTAGGCGATACCTCAACGTTTTCAACTATAACCTTCTTCTTGTCCATTTGTAAAGTCTTTAAGAAAGCCTCCTGGAATGTATTGGCTGGTCTCTCTTCCAAAAATAAATCCTTGTCTTTTCTCCCTTTACCTGTTTCTGGTGTAAATCTTCCTTTGTATCGCGTTTGTATCGAAGATTTCCTAGGTGTCGATTGTTGTTCGACTAACGTTTTCGTTGGACTTTTTGATGTGTTTCTCGCGACGTCTGCGTCAGATGATTTTTTCGGCGACTTTAATTTAACATCCTGATTGACATCCGGCGGTACTTGCTCCGTCGATTGCGTCTCTTGCTCTTTTACGTGTGATTCGACTAGTTTTGTCTGCAGCTCAGAACTCTTCAGGCTATTTCGCTGCTCGTTCTCGGTTTTCTCACCGGAAATTATACCAATTTTTTCGTCCGTTACCGTGCTCACCGCCGTCTTGGTCTCATCTTCTTTCTTCACTTTCTCTTCAACGGCATTCCGAGAGTCGGGCTGAGCCCCGAATTCAGATTCAACTTTACGTTGAGCCTCGGACTCGGGCTCAGTTATCGCGCTCTCAGACTTGGGCTTGGGTTCAAGTTCAGATTTAGTTTCAAATTGAAGTTCAGATACAGGTTCAGTTTCCGCGCTCTTATTACCTTGAACATTTGCATCCAAAAAATCTATTTGTGACAATTCAAATTTTTTTATCTGAGACTTTTTTGGTGGCAGTATATCCACGTTCGTTTTCAGGGCATCTTGCATGTCACCTGCCTTATCGGCAGTATCTTCAGTTTGCTGTACTATCGACGGCTTCTCGACGTAATCTTCGATATCTTTACGTTGCTTTGACAAATCTTCTTTCCTCTCAGTTTCAAATAATTTCTTCACAGTTTTATCCATACCAAGTTCTGCTGTCCCTATTTTATCCGTAGCTTCTGACTTCTGGCACGACGTTGTCATTTCTACATCTTTCAAAGACACATCCGTATCAACTTTTACAGTAGCTACTTGATCCGAAGATTTGACTCGTTCCTCGAGTATATCGCGCTTTACCTCTACTGTTTTCCTCTCTTCTCCTTCGGAAAAGATCTCCTTTTTACCCTCGGGTGATTTGCTTTTTATATCAATCGATAAGAAGCTAACATTGTTTTCAGCAACAGTTGACGTTTGATCGGATACTTCTATCTCTTGCTTATCCATCTGAGCGATGAGTTCGTTGCTCTTCTTGTCAACCTTGGAACGTCTACCTCTTCTAGATTTGCTCGTGGTTCTTTCGGAAGCTTTAGTCTCACTCTCAGATTGGCTCTCGTCAGTCCTAAACGCTCTATAATCAGGATCTTGAACGTATATGCCGGATTCCAAGTACTTCTTGTTTGGCTTGCGTCTCCTACCGCTATACGAACGGTCTGTGTCGGAATCGGAAGTCTTTCGTTCCATCTCAATCCTTCCGCTCGTGCGAATTCTCTTGTTGCCTCTGCTGGCTTTAGTCTTTGGAGTTTTGTCCATACGGGTATTCTTGCTAGCCGATCTCGCGTTCTTACGCGGTCGCCCTCTTCCTCTTTTAACTAGCGTCTGACCCGAGGAACTATCGATACTTCGGTCTAACAAGTCGACATCTGAAGTTTCGCTTTGTTCAGGCAAAGTCTCTGCGGATTCGGACACGGTCTCATCCTCCGTTTCCGTGGTAAATCGTTCCGACAAAGTGTCGTCTGCTTCTTTCATCGAAGCATTGTCATTAGATTCCGCGATCGCATCCTCCGAATCAGTTTTCTCAGACTGTAATTTTTCATCGCTGGACTTGACACTTGTTTCATCTCTTTTTACCGATACATCGGACATAGTCTTCGACTTCCTTTCCAGGCCCTTTGCAGCATTCGAAGAATGAGCAGTGTCACCATCTCTCTTCTCAGTTTCAAGTATCTTCGCAATCTCTAGCTCCGTTTCGCGAGTGTTAACATTTGACTTTTGTTTACTCTCGGATCGCGTACTTTTCTTTTCTTCCTTTTTAACTTCATCAGATCGTTTCATTTTTGTTTTTTCTTGTACACTCTCATTACGCTTTTTGTCTACTTTGTCTTCCTTCTCTCGAGTGTCCCTACCTTGTATTATTTCCATTATTTCCTCAGCTTTTAATTCCACATTTTTACCCAATTCGGATACTTTGTCGGCTTCTCTTTTAATTTCATTTTTCAGAGCTTGACTCATTTCGAATTCCTTGATAATTTCCTTTTTCAAATTCTTCTCGCCGAAAACTCTGGGAATTTTTCGTACAGGCGGTATAGACGGCTCGCTCAAATCATCCTCATCGAAATCGAAGCATGACAGCCGCGACTTTTTGTCATCTTTATCGGAAACGTGTTTGCTCTCACTATCGGAACTCGAGGTGTCTCTCTTTTGCGACTTGTTTGGCGTTTCATTAGATCTGCCATCAGCCTTGGTAGCAACCTTTCCGGAATTCTCAAAGTCGGACTTTTTGTCGAAATTAAACTGTTTCTTCGAGGTATGCAAGCTGTCCAATGAATCCCGCATCATGTGGATTGAGGACAACTGTTCGGTTTCCTTAAGTAGTTTCTCCGTTTCTGCTATAATCTCGTTATTCTCCGCAGCACCAGCATTCTTTTCACTGTAATCCTTGTTACCGACATCATCGCCGCTCGACAGATTCTCTGTGGGCAAATTGCTCAACCTGCTATTAAGGGAATTACTTGCATCAACGTTCGTTTCTTCGTCCGATTCGTCATCCCAATCGGCCAACAACTTCTCCCGCAATTCCGGATCGGTCTTCTTCTTCTTATTGGACTTGTCGCTCGGTTTCGAGTGCTTCCGTTTGACCGATTCCAGCTTATTCTCCGTCTTCTTTTTACTCGATTGGCTTTTATCTTTCTTCACGTACTTTCGTTTCGGCGTGCTTGTTTCGGAAATTCTACCACGTGACGGAGAGTACATTTTTACCTTTAACTGTGGTATTGGCGAGTCACCGGATCGATGACTTTTTATGTGACAAATGATAACGTTAACGCGCGAGGAAGTGAACTCGCAGAAGTGACAGCGATAAACCGGGGAACCTACGTTAGTCGGAGTCGACGGTAAACTGTTGGGTTGCTGACGAATGCGGACCTCGTGATCGCTCTCGCCACGTAAAAAGCGCGGGTGCGTAATCTTCTTCGCCATCTCCATGCCATCGCTCCGCCTATGTCCCTCCTCGCGATCGCGTTTCTTTTTCGGAATTTTCTTCTCACCGAACAAAGCTGAGATATCCGGTTTCTCCTCAGGACAAAATTTCTCCTGGTTCAATATAGCAGGATCTCCTCCCGTTAACTTCTCCGCCATCTCCACGTCGCCTGGGAACTTGTCCATATAACTGGCACCGTCTTTACTCTTGGTCCTATATTTATCTATCGATACCAAAACAAACATTTTTCACTCTGAATAGAAAACAAATTTTCTATTACAACTTGTTATACTTACCCATACCCTTTTTGATAAATTCATCTTTAAGCGTACAATTGTATTTGTAGATCTGCTGGTAATTTTTCACAAATTCACTAAAAAAAGGGGGGGGAGGAAATGATTTAAGTGACTGCTGTAAATAATTTATCTTACATTGCACGATTAATGAATAAATGTAAAGATGAAACTTTGATAACTTACTAGGTGTCTTCTTGAAAAAATTTGACAGCAGCTATTAACGGTTTCTTTCGAAATTCAGTTTGTACATCTTCTGGCAAATTATTGAGTCCGATGACTTGACCAGGCCACCAGCACGCTCCCAACTTGACCCAAACAACATCTCCATCCAGGTAATTGATTTCTGTTTGTTCGCACATCTTGGCAGAGTATTTGACTCTATTCTCTTATAAAATTGACATTGGTAAGAACCAAGAGAGCTCTGTCGAATCCGTTCTCCTAGGAAAACATTGGCGACTGCCTAGGACTGGTATGCTAGAAATCAAGTTTTGCACAAGTTAAACGACAATCTTGATAGAGAATTGAAACATTTAGCGACTCGTGTCGAGGAAGAAGGGATACCTTTAAAACCATGTACAGATGAGTAATGCGAGCAAATGCAGCGTCAGACTGTTTCTGCTTGAGAATAATGAGATTATTCTCCAAGTGCAACAACTACGAGATACACCGTAGGATCTTGCGTCACTAGTGATGAATCGTTGCAAGGTTCCGTAAGACACTGAAACTTGTCGAAACTATTACTGTACGTTCGTCCAAGCGTTTCGTCGTATCTCAAGCGAATGTCCCTCCGGAATCCCAAGCATGCTCCCTGGCGACAACCATAAAAATAACACTGCTCTCGAGAGCGAGTGCCGCGGTACGAGTGTCAAGTCGAGGACGCGAACGGACCTACGGCGCGCTGGCGAAAAACGGAGTACGCACGGCCCGAGTGCCTCGGTGCGGTCTAGCTGCCTCGATGCTGACGTTGCTGGCAGCAGCTAAGTCGGGCATCTTAGCCCGCGCGAGTCGCGTGACGAGCGATCTCTCCTTCGATATCTCGCTTCTCACACGCAGCTCTAGGTTCGTATCAGGCGCACCGCCGGCTAAACAACACCAACACGTTCGCGCATACACTCGGCGCGAGTCGGGAAGTCGGCGAGCGTCGTCCCAGGAACGCGACGGTGGAAGGCGCGAGCACACACGAGAGAGAGTGCGCGCGCGCGCGCACTCACTCACTCCCTGTCCCTCTCGCCGTATCCCGCCGTATCCCGCCGCGAAACGCACACCACTCGGGAGGCCGCCAGATACGCCTCGATACAATCGCGAGACGAGAGGACTCCGAGCCGAACTAGGCCGTGCTCGGCGACAACGACGTCTCGAAGGCGCTACGTCGTTCGCGGAACACGACGTACGTACATTTCGGTTACCCGACTTGCAACGGGGCCTCACACGGTGAATCGGATATGCGATGGTTAAATGTGTAGACCGAATACTACCGTCTCTCTTTCGCGACCGTGTCGTCGCGAGCGCGAGACTTGGAGCAACAGGCCTGCCAACTGCGAATCGCGCGCGTCTTTCGAGTTTCATCTACCTCACTCACGGTGGCGTAGCACATCACGAGAGCGTAGCAGCATTGTACAACCATTTCGACGCAATTATTCAAGCGATTCTATCAGAATCACCCTGTCATTGCTCGTCGAGTTGATACGTCACCCTCTTTCACGACAAGGACCTCGCTCACTTTTTATCCTACACATTTTTTCAGCGTGTTGATTGGCTACAAGCTAGGAAGATTTGCTAGCCAATCGTGAGACATGTTAAGGCCTATATCCACGATGCTACAACTCTCAAGCTCTAGATTCGAGAAATATGTAGCCAATCAACTCTTGCAGCTATTCGATGAAAGTTGATTTGATTTACAATTCAAGTGACAGTATTGGTTATAAAGCTGTAATCTCTCTCGATCGGTATATCCTAGGGAGTCTACTAGAGAATCTTCCCTAGTGAGCGATGCCGTTGATGAACCTGTGTCGCCAAGGCGAATGGTGACTGGTGGCGCTTATGTCGCGGCTTACTTCCGGTGTATACGTCGCCATCGTCGTCGTCGTCCGACGGCGCTGTTCAATTTTTCTCGGCGCCCGTTCCGGTTCCCGGCGGCACTGTCGTTTCATCGTTTCAGAGATTACGACGTCGACATCCCCTGGTTACCACCGCTCTCGCATTTCCCGTCGACCTCTCGCCGGGTCTCCGGAACTTTAACGCCGGAAGTGTACGGTTCGTCGTCGCGTCAGGCTCTACGTGCGTCATTGCTTGTTGTCGGATCAAGCTTGTAAGAAAATGGCGACCGCCGTCCCGTCGCGATTCGCCGTTCTCAGCATCGAGGACGACGATTACAAGCCGAAGAAGACGCAGAAGAATGCGACGACGAGCAAGACCAACGCCAAGAGCAAGGGCGACAAGTCGAAGCAGCAGCAGCAACAGCAACAGCAGCAGCCCAACAAAAAAAAACAGAACAAAGTACGACCGTCGTTGTGTTTTTGTTTTTGATTAGCCGGCGGAACTTGAGCCGGATGCGACGTCGCGGCGGGAAATCGCGACGTTTCAAATTTATTCGACCAGGCGAAGCTACAATTTTTCTTCTTTTTAGGGAAAAAAGAAGAAAACCAATAGCGATGATCAACAGTGGGAGCAGTGGAAGCAAAAGGACACGATGGTAAAATATCTATTTTTCAACCAACTAAGTAAGATTTATTTATCAGATACTTCTTTTCTAACTTTATCGTTGAAACTTCTCACGCTCGAATATGTAGCCTACGAGTGTCTTTGGATTTATTCTAGTTTCGTATCTGCTTAACAATTCAACTACGAGAAACACCATGAGATCTTTCAATAAATTTCCAATCTAAAGTTTTCTCCCGATGCCCAGAGAGTGCAACATTTACCATTCTTTATTTCTTTTTTATTTGTTCGTAATTTTCTGGTAATGGTATAATACATGATTTTATTTTGAATTTTTGTCTTTACGTTATCATTACCTGAAGGCCGTTGAGGAAACGTTTGAGCAAGAATTGCATCAAGCCATTCTGCTGTCAAAATTGGCATACGAAGAGCAATTAGTTAGCGTAGGAAAAAGTGACAAGGAACAAGAACAAAACAAGAAGTCTGGTAAAAAGTCGAAGAAAGCGACCATGTCGTTGGAAGAATTTAATAGCATGGGAACGAGTGCGACGGTAGCACCGTTAACAACTGAGCCTGCAGACAAGTCGAGAGGTACGATTTTCTCAATTAGCTTGAGAATGAACCGAAAAATTATATCTTTTTTTTTTTTGTAGAAGTGGATGCGGAATTCTTCGAGAGGGTAGAGAAGGAGACGAAAGAAGAGATAACGAAAGGAAAAGAAAAGGACATATTGAAGGCCAGATTAAACAAAATCGACAATGATATAACATTCGCGCAATTAAGACTGGAGATTGAGAAACGGGATGAAATAATCAGCCAATTGAGAACCGAGGTGCACACGCTGAAAGAAGAGTTGACACAAGTTAAAGAGAGAAATAAAAAACTTTATCAGATATTGTCACACGGCGAGAGTAAGTCTCTACGGAACGTGTCATAATTTTTATTTACGTCATCAGATATGTAACTTGTGTTTATAAACTTTCGTTATTTTCAATTGTCACCTTTAGTGAAGGATAAGGCGTCGGTATTGGCTGAAGTTGCAAAACTACAAGAGATACGAGACGAACTAACATCCGAGGTAGCGTCTTTGCACGCTCAACTGGAGCAAGAAAGATCGAAAACACGTACATCTAGTGTAGATGTGAAAACGTCTAAACAAACTGTACGTTCAACACATTGTGTCTCTATCGATTTCTCTTTCAATGTATTGGACAATTTTGTGCTTATTATATCTTGCATATTTCAGAACAAGAAGAGGCCGGCCAGTGAAAATGCCTAAATCATTTTTCATGAAAAACTACCATTGTGATCAATTAATTTTAATTAACAAAGTATATCGATTAAGTAGCAATTTGAAAAGAAGGAATATTATATTTGCATAGAGAAATTTTTCTCCCTGCATATGCAATACATATTAGTTGTATTTGCTTGTTAACAATAAGTTTAAGATACGTCAGGTACGAATGCATATTTTCAGAGAAGAATTACAGCCTACGTGTGTGAAAAGTTTCATTATTTTTTTAAAGATGGTAATATGATTTACACTTCTTCTCTATTAAGTTCCATAGGTTTCTGAAATCATATTTGATAAAGCTCTTCCAAAATAAGGAATTTCGTAACTTATCATCTTCCAAAATTGTATATTAACATACTTACACTTCCGTGTGAATATAAATATATATATTTATATTCACCCAAACACACACGGACATGTATGTATGTGTATATATCTGGAGATATTTTGTAATAAAATATACATTCTACACAATACTAAATACGTTAATCATTAATCACTCTCCTTAACATTTTGTGTGTATTAATATACAACCATCGAATTTGTGTAACAAATTGGTCTTTGTTTAATAAGTAACGAAAAGTTTACTCGTTATTTAGTTAACAAGATGCAAGTTTTATAATTGCATAAAGCTGGCCTTCTCCATAATTCTTAATTTTCTACCTTGTCCAACACATCTTTTAATCATATTTTAATTTGAAAGTTGAATGATATTTATGTATATTTTAAATTCCCGCTCCAAGAGGAATGAAAAAAAGATTTGTCACTTGAAAACTATGTGATAGAAAGTTTGATTAATAAACGTAAGGTGAGATGTCTCACATTACGTTAATGTTCTGATTTCGGAATTTGGACAGTTTTGTTTTTGCCGCATGTAATCATCGTCATCTCCATCTACCAATTTCCAGTCCTTTCAGCGATTCCAGTGGGCGGCGCTACACCCATTCGCTGCGATACTAAGCTTCATCCGGATTATACGTGCGGTTGCGCATTTTTATGGAAATTTTTTTGTTCACTTTTTCTGCCTCGAGTTATTCCGCGTGAATTTTTTTCGAGCTCGCTCCCGGCAACTTCAACATGCAGTTCGATACGTTACACTTCACGTTCCGATTCTTTCTTTCTTTTTCCCCCCTTTTTGTACGGCTTTGCTCCATTCGTTCTCGAATACACGTAAAAAAGAGAATTTTCGTATTCCGCGTTAGCTTTGTATGAATTATGAGCTATGTCTCGTACGAAGAGAAGCAATTTGTTTTATCCTCCATTGTTTTATCTCAATGATAAAAATTACACAATTAAAAATGATTCATTAACAATTTGTGGAACATCCAGTAAACATTTCGTGGGGATATCTTAATTTCCCGCGTAGGGAATCTTAGAAAGAGACCCTTTTAGCATTTTCACTGTATTGTAATATACAGAATTGACCCCCTGAGGAAACATGATGACAAAAATGGCGATTAATGCGCGCTGGTTTAATCTTGCTCGGAGAGCGACCCGATCTTCCCCGGACAGGCGCGTCTCTTCTGGCTGAGATCTTGACCAATAAAAGGGGCATTAGCGCTAAGTGGACGCTTCGCCTACTCGGTCATAGTCGTGTTTGTTACGCGAGAGCAAGAGGGTGGCAAGTACGCGTTTGGGGAGGGACGTGTTTAGCGACAGATATGACTGCCACTTAATTTGCGGCAGCTTTCGCCGATGTACGTACAATGCCCTAACTTGTAAGAAATAAAAGCAGAAAGATGACTCGTATACAGAGGACATACTTTTCACGAGAGATATTATACATCTATTAGTAATTCGTTAAACGAGATAGAAAAACTCTTTCTATCTCAAGCAAACGTGCAGTATGTGTGAGCAAATTATAGAGCACTCTCTATAAGATTCAAGATTAATCCGTTGATCCTCTCGTTGGAGAATAATTAATTGCCGGAATAGACAATCCTCCACAATGACGTAGTTGCGCTTTCACTTAACTGAAAGTAAAAAGTTGTTCTTTGGGATAAAACGCGACTTTCTCGAATCCATCGCTGTTGCAGAGGGAGAAAGATAAGCGTAGAGGGGGGAAGGGAGAAAGAGGATGAGAGAGATAGGGGCAAAGAGAAGAGGGAGAAGAGAACGTCGAAAGGGAACACGGTGGATTGAGGGTTTTAGGACGCGACGCGACGCGACGCAACGGTACAGGGGGGGGGGGGGTGACAGTGGAGATTCATTATCTGACAGTCTATTGTCATTCCTGCGGGCTGAGATTTTGCTCGGGCCGCGAGTTTCGAGGCATTACTCTATTCGGATGTGTGTGTGTGTAAGAGGGGAAGAGGGTTGCGAAATGCAATACCCTCTCATGAAAAATAGTCGCGTTTGTTGAAAAGTCGGAGATTCCAGGTAGCTGCATTTTCTTCCACGCCCAACGGCTCTCTGTCCCTCCCCCTCTCTTACCTTTAAGATTCTGTGTCGAGCATCGTTTGAGAAATCTTATTACGAGTTAATTATTGGTAATGGTTAGGTCATTCCCCTTTTCAGTTTGGATTTTTCATCCGTTTATTCATATTTTCGATGAGTTGGGATGAGTTTTGGGATGTGGTAACAGATAAATGTGCGAACGAATCGAAACAAGTAAGGGATGCATAAATACGTCTCGTTCATTTTTGCACTATTCGAAATCTGAATGCTGTTGTCTCTGTCTTTAGTAGGGTATACCGTATTCATGAAAGAGAAATTAACCTGAACACGGTCAAGAGATAGAGACAGAGCCAATCAACATCGACATCGACATCAACACCGAGAGAGACATCTGTCCCTGGCTCTGCGCGTAGACGCGTAGATCCGTAGATGCGAGAAACTGAAAAGACGAACGGAAAATTAATTCGAACATTAGGCAGGAAAATTAAGGAATCGAGACGACGACGGCTGAGGGGAGAACTGTCGTTGTCACGACGTTATTCATCCCGTGTACATCCGCTGTGTCATTAACGCTCTCCCGCGGATATAGCGGCCCGTGCCAAGTGCGTCGTCTATGTATTGTATATTGTATATATTGCCAAGCTGCGAGATTAAGACTAACGAGGAAAGTATTTCCGCGCCGCGAAGGAGTTCCCTACTAACGACGGAAATGACGAACTTTCCGCGGGATAATGAGATGGTCGCGATCGATGATCCGATTCTCATTCGATCGAAATAATATCCGAGAGGATAACTCATCAAACGACACCTGGATTCGTATAATTCGATACAATCGGAAGAGAAGATACCCGAGAGGGTCTCGTGGCACCGACGTTTCATTCCATATCTATTTTGCAAGAGCGGCTGATCGGGAGGAAAAGAAGAAGGCGAGGCGTCCGGTGGTGTAATTTAGAGGGGGATGGTGGTCGATACGATACGGACTCTTTCTCGTTATTTTACGACGAATACTTGTGTTTATACAAGTGACGGTGCATCGAATGAAAAAATTCTGTTACAAGTTCGTTATATGGAGAGCTCGTCATCAGTTAAACATTTTGTGTGACTTTGCACTCTTTTCACTGATAATTCACCGATTGATTTTTAGAGACCCCCAGTTTCTTTCAATCGAACGGTATGTAATTTTGGCATTGCTCGATATCGTCTCGTTTCAATTCATCAACGTAGTTTCTCAATGGTAGTCGAGCAATTATAATCCGTATCGTCGCAACTAGCAGACCTCTGAATATGTAATATGTCACGAGTCTGATTATGGCGCTAAGATCAAGCAGATTCCGCTCGATGTATCAGGCGATCAAATCGCGTCCATATTCAGCATACCGTTCGGCAAATTGGCGCTTAAGACGAGATACATCCCGCGAGATACATCTCGCTCGGTTTATCGCTGGAATATTATTATCACAAGCTTGAGATATGTATATCGACAGACAGTTTATTCCCGTATCGTCCCGTATAAGACATGCGCCGTCACTTTTATTTTATGGTAGACGGTAGATGTTCTAGAGTGCGTACTCGAAAAGATCGTGCTGCTCCGTTTCGGCGCCTTTTATCCCGCGTTTATTAAGAGAAATTCAATTGTGTAATTCGCTATAAAGTTATAATACAAAGGCGAAACGATCGAGAAAGAAAGAGCGAGGTAGAGGGACGTGAAACGTCAGGTGCAAAGTTTCCCCCCGTGTTTCTTTCGTGGAACCGCGGGACTTTGGTTAGCGCGACATTTGCGAAGAGGGAGAAGGAGGTTCGCGTATTGAGGCCGGCGCCGCGCGATGCGTCGCATAGTCCACCCTCTGGTCCACCACCCCCGTTCATCGATGCACGCGCACGCGAAACGATTAAAGTTTTACAAGTATCGATTCTATCACGGCGTTAACGTTGACAGACCGAGGGATCGTCAAAGAGCATAATAATTACTACAGGCCCATAGAGAAGAGGCTCAACCCTTTGTTCTATAGTCATTTTACGAAAAGGGGCTACCCGCGCTGGGGATGCCGCCGCCATGGGGTCGCTCGCGGTTGGAGAGCATCCGTTTCAACCGTACCATTATGTAATTGATCCGAGTCTTTCCTACGAACGCGATCGTACGTCTCGAATCTTCCCTCTCGTTTGAAAACGTCGAGAGGAGGAAAGGGAGCGAAATAGAGATTCGATAAGATCCGTTAATTTTTTCCTAATTTACTCGGTCAGTTTTGTTAATGTTAAAAAGACTAAAGACGCTGTCCTTATCAACGCCTTTTATCACATTAACAATGACGAAGTAGTATTTAACATCGGAACAAGTTAAACCACCTGCCAGTCTAAAGTCGTTTAATGATTCTTTTTTGTCAATTATATATATAACTACTGACGATTACTATATATACTTTCTTGTTAATTTTGCACGTGCGAAGGTAACTAAACGGTCCAGAGACGCGCGTCCTTGATACACATTTGTGCGTCAAGTGTTACGTGAAAGATAGAATTTTCAGCGTACTTCAATCGATCGTTTTTCTCATTGACATTTGGCGGCGTGCAAATATAATTAATAGAAAATCCGCTCGTTACAGAGATCTTTTTGCGGACGGAAAGGGGAGATCGCGTTGCATCGGGCGCGCGATTCCCGAATTCGCCGGAGAGTCGTAATTAACAGAGGCCGATGCGTGTAACGACGGACACAATTAGAAAATGGTACATACAGCGCGGATTCCTGCCTTCTTTCTCCCAGTCCCCCGCCGCCCTCGCCGATACGGCGCGATTAATGTGCACCCTCCATTATTCATTTTCGTTTATATATTCGTCGTGGCGACGTGGAGGGAAGAGGGCTCGCCCCCTCCC